CATGGAGTATTTGTGAATGGCTCATTTATTTTTCCAAAACTACAAGAGATGTGCTCTCTCAGTGACTCTAGGATTTCAACACAGAGCCCAGCAATGTTTGCTCCCTCTCTGACCTAAGCCTGTAGAGACCTAACTCTCATGAATGCCTGAGTCTTCTCTGTCAAATAAACAGCATCCTACAAAGCACATCTGGTGAGGGAAGACCCAGACTGCCAGTTGGAAACCCATCAGCTGGCTTGGGTGCAAGAGGAAGCCCTGAGACTCTCACGGCTGTAATGATGGAGGGGAAGAACCCAATGCGCACAATCTGATGAGTCAATTAAAACAATCTATAACATTTTTCTGCAACACAAAGGCAGGGAAAAGCCCTGTCTGACATGCACAGCAACTCACTCAATTTGCTCTGTTCCTTGGCTTTATCTCCACAAAGCTGCTAGCTCTAATCTGTACGGTGGCATTATATGCAACTTATTTGTGCACTCAAGCTCTTATGTTGGAGATATCTCCTGTAAGTGAGGGTGATCAACCTTCTCCTCCATTAGCAAGGCATAAGGCAGTAAAAGTAGGTGAACAACTGCCCACTGAGCTCAGCTCTGCTGTGCCACCTTGTGCACAGGCAAATGAAATCTCTTCCTGACCCCAGCAAAGTAACTTGTTTATGACCAATGAACAAAAGACTAGACTTTCCTTATCTGAGCCTGAAATTGGAGCGCTTCTACTAACATTTGCTTGCCTAAATAAAAAAAAAAAAAAAAAAAAAAAGAAAAAGGAAGGAAAAAAGAAGGAAAAAAGGGTTTGGGAGAGCTGTTTCTAAAACCCATACCAAACCAAAATAACATTCCAGCTCCAGTATTTTATTCAATGTGTACTGGCTTCACAAGCCCTGGAAGTTATTATCTACATGGGAAGAATAAGAAATCAACAGTTCTGACCAGCAACAATGGCTGCAGAGAAAGAGCATTTGGCAGCAGCTCACAGGCAGGGAGCAGCGAAGGAATGCAATGAAGAAGAGGAATGCAACGCTCTGCATGACCTACAACATTAACAGCACCCTGCATTGTGGGCCACCCTATTATTTTGATCACAACCACAATCTGCTTAATTGGTATTCCTCAAAAATGACAGAAGACAAGTGTTTGCATCAATTAGCTGTCATTTCTTATTATTCCTTGAGTATGTTTTGCTCAATTTTTCAGCTTCTTTAACTGGAAAGCTGTTGTAAAAATTAAGATATGTACCAAAGAAAAATCAGATGCTCGTTTTATTTATTTAGTTGCTGGAGACATACACTCTGGTTTAAATTACAATGGATTATCTGACTAAACTGTTGGGGGAATATTAACTATATCTTTAAGAAGCCTCACTCTCTCTCTCTCTCTCTCTTTCTCTAATTCTTTATAAAATGCTTTGAAGGCTCTCCAAATTAATTTTTTCATTATTAAACAAGCATTTCAGATTTGTTATCTTACCTTTCATAATGTCTGCGAGTACATGTAGCAGCACTTGTGCTTCCAGGGTTACCGCCTAATTCATCATAAATATGTTTCCATTGTCGACGGGCTGTTATCTGTAAAAATGGCAATGGGAAATTTAATCTTGCATCTTTACAGATTCTACAGCGTTTGAGTTCACAACAACAAATGCATGTGTGACACTTTCAGAACAGCATGTACTACAAGCACTATAAACGTCCCTACAGAATATATAGAATACACAGAGCTTTGGGTGTCTTTTTTTCTTTTTTTGTAAGTTAGCACGATGTCTATTTTCTTTCTCTCTAAAATGGAGTGTTCTGACTGATTCATTATCAAATCATAAGCAATGCAGCCTCACAAAAGGGAATCTCAATCAATACAGGGTCATTAACCATCAGAAGTTATGCAGACAAATCCCATGGTGAATTATGAAAATGAACCTCAAACCATACTCAGCACAAATAATGATTACATAGTTATTTTAACTGAATTAGAGAAAATAAATCTGCTGCAAAACCCAAATCCACCACAGAATTCTGTAAATCCACAAAAGCATAGTCCGTAACTCTATATGTTACAAGCTGTTTATTTTTATCCATTTATGTCAGTAAAATATATAGATCAAATAATAATGAAAACATACTCCAATGTTAATATTTGAGCTATGTACTTTATTGGACCATGCTGATGAAAATAAACATCTCGTAACATATTGAGTTGCATACCATGGTTCTGTTTTTTCTGTACAGAAATTAGGATTATACAGAATAACAGATGGAAGACCTGGCAAAAGAATTGTTTCTGAATACCACTTCATTATTTTATGTATTTCACTATATTTAAAACAGGAAGAAAAACAGGAATAAGACAAGCACAACAGATCACCCTCTTTTGCCTGCAGCTCATAAAGAAGGCCAGTGGAAAATTGTGGGGGCAATTTGGGGAGAATTTTGTCATTTTCTGTGGAATGCTGTGGATTTTAATATATTCAGCCCCGGAGGCTTCTTCTGAGTTACCCACAGAGCAGTCAATGGCGTTTACTGAGGAACTAAAGGCAGCAATCAGGAGAAAACAAATACTACAACTTGCAATCTGAGGCCCGTAATTTTAATCTAAACAAGAGGAGATAGCTACCGTCATTAAATATTACAGGGTTAGAAGCATTTCTTTTTTTTGCTCAGTATAAAAGGAAAACCCTTCCTTTGCAGAAATTATTCTCCAAAGCATGGCTGGAGACTTATCATTTGATAATGTTATGATTTCTTCAAGTTTATTGTTTATACAGTTCTCCTTAGTAAACATCACCATCTCCAACTCACTATTAGCACCCTTCCTCATTTTGCACCTATAGGTTAAAAAATAAAAGTATTTTATCTTAAACCTTCTTTAAAGCAAAATGGACTGCATTACTGAATAACTGCATGCACTGATTTTATTTTCTGTCTTCTGTAACGAACCCAAACACAACAGGCACAACAGAGGGACTGCAATTCAAGGATAAATCCTGCACAAGTTATTCACACACAAATCAAACACTCATCTGAGGATCAGGTTAATTTTAAGTCTATTTTGTTTAAGTTCTTATGCAGTCTCTTCCCTAGGCTACCCACACTTCTTATTGCTAAAAGTCGTGAAGAGCTTGAGTCCTAATGAATGAAACATAAAGAACATCACCTTCTGAGAATATGAACAGACACATCTTCTGTAACCTGAAAGGTCAAAAAAAGCTGGACCAAGTACCCTGCTGTGGAGGAATGCCTGGATGTGAAGCTACTCCTGGTCCTGCCTCCCACACTTATCAGGACAGGCAAAGGGCGGAGGCATGGCCAGATGGCCCTTGCCTTCATGTAGCTCACAGATACCCTGAGGGCTGCTGCAAGTGGTTTTATACTAAATCAAGTCTCTGGCAGCTTTGCAGACCAGGGGAAGAAAGATGCACAAAGCCAATTTAGGGTCTATGCTTTGGCCTTCTGGCAAGCACAGCCTGGCTGGCTTGCAAGGCTGTGGGCCAGAACCTGATGCTTTGGCTAAGTACAGTGATGCTGTGCAGAAGCTATACATGAAAGCAAAGGATTAGTCAGCAAGAGGACTACTGCAAGTCCCCTTTTTAAACATCCCAATGTGACTAAGAAGCATGGTCTCTATTTTCAACAGTAAAATTTAAACCTCAGAGCCTAAGTCACATTAACTATGAGCTGACTCAAGAGTCAATCCTCAAGCTGGAACATCAGTAAACACAATCAACTTTAACAGGAAAAGTGAATCCCTTTGAGACCCTTGCATCATTTTTGGTGTTTTTTTCCTCTGCGATGCTTAGAAAACTACCATTTTCACAAACATCTGCCCCATTTTATCCAATTCTGCCTCTACAATGGACCAGAACTCCTTGGTGATAAGCAGAGCTGTGCCCTCCCACATACAGACCTGAGTTTAAATTTGATGTTCCCTGAAATCATTGTTATTCTTAACGAAGTCTGGGGTTGAGTTTTCCTCTGCTCTGGAATGTTTTATTTTTTATGCTTAATAAGCTTCAAAGGACTAAAGTAACTGGTAAATTATGACCTTAAATAATCTGAGCAAAATGCTGCACTGTGGAAACTTCTCAGTTGTCATGCAGGGCAGTACTGCTCAAGCTGGATGCTCATGCTGGCCACATCCAAATTGAGGACTGCTTTCTTCTCTTATACAGGTCTGTCCCAGCCACCACAGTGACGAAGAACTTTCTGAAGACCCAGGAAATGGCAGTGTTTGGCAATGTTCTGCTTATGGTTACTGGTCCTACCAAAAGTGCCAGTCTTGGCTCTCTCACACAGTGGTTAAGGGTTAACTGAAAGGGCTCATATGTGCTTCTCCCTAGTACTATGTTTATGACCAGGCCACACGAGGAACAGAAAGGCAGGTAACAGAAGATATGAAAATGATAACATAGTTTAGCTGTCTGGGCAGTGAATTTCCCATGAATATTCAGAAGCAAAGTGTTGTTTTTTTAAGGGCATGCAGCTGTAGTGGTGTAAGACAACTAAGATCTCGCAAAAGCTTTAACAAATGTCCTCACCACTTTCATTTCACACTTCCGATTAATTCAGTTTTCTGATGTAAGATGACCCGCTCCAGCAGAAAACACACAGAAGACAAAGAACCTTTGCTGCTTTAGTTCTCCAATTTGTTTTCCCTGCTACCAGTATACACATCCCTTCAGTGCCTGCCACATTTCTGAAAGCACAGACTCACACATTAATCAAGGGAATTGCACAGGCCAGTATCATCTCTGACAACTTCCAATTCCAATGATGGCTTTAGTTTTAAAGTAGTCTTCTGTTTTCCAGACCCCTCCCAAAATCTGCTCCAACCTATAGCTTCACTGTTCTAGAGCTGGGCCTGTTGGAAGCCAGGAACTTCGAAAACCTCCATGACATTTTTCCCAATCAACAGATTTTGGAGTTAAGCAAGAGACTGCTCTGCCCACGGATCTGACAGCAGATCTGATCTGGTTCCTACAGGCACAGTATTAGGCAGTGACTGGTACTCAAGAACAACCAAATTAAAGCAGTGATCTTATCTATTAAAGGACTGTTTACACATATGCTTTTAATGATGTCTTCTGCTTTGAGAAATCTTAAGGTCTTCTGTACTGCAATCCCAGCTCCCAGCTCCCTTCCTCACGAAAAGCTTCTTGCTTATTTCCTGCTGCAAATATAATGGGGGATTTTCTGGTCATGGTATCTGATGTTCACAATGCTTCAAAACACAGATTTGGGTATTAGCTCTGTACGAAACAAACCCAGGTAGTTTTGCATTCCACTGATACATCAGTTTCTTTGGGCCTGCCCAGATGCAGGACTGCTGTATATGTCAATCATTAATTTTTAAAAACTAAAGCCCTTTATTGTTGCTTCCAGGAGCTGTAGCTAAACGGGATCCTACTGACCTTCCACAAAAATTGAGCTGCTACATACAAAGGTTAAATTCCACCTAATTTTATTTTTAACCTTTATCTTTCTCAGATATCTCCAGTTAGAGTCCACTCAGCACGGCAGCCTTCTGCAAACATGCCAAGGCACTCCTTTTGTCTTGGCTCTAAAGAAAAAACACCACTTCATGACTTGCCAAGGACAACTCTTCAGGTAAGTCCTGGAAGTTTCCCATCTCTGAACCTTATACTCACTTGACTTAGGCTGACTGAGAAAATTCCAGGTAATGGTTGTTAAATTCCACTGCAGCTGAGCCCCCTAGAATGTGACGTTTCGTATTTCATCCAGGGATTTGGGGACATTTTAAATCATTCATACTGTGAAGTTGTGCTATACAGTGCTTACCAATGCACTCTACTATTAGTAACGAAGATGCTGATTTAATGTATCTTTTGTTTAAGAGAAACATGATCCCACCAATTACAAAGAGGCAGATTCATCTGTTAAGGACTTAAACCAATTTGTACAGATTGCCATTTTTATTAAGCCTGTATTATGTTCAACAAGAAGTGCATAGGAGTGTGGTATTACAGAGTTACAGATGACAGCTAAGAATTAGTAGTCAAACAGACAATGGACAGATGAGAAATGACCCTTGCAAGTACTCCAACAGGAGAGCCTTTAAATATGACACACAATTATGACTTGACACTACTAGATATCCTGTATGTATGTCCCATATGTACAGGTAATACTCTCTGTCAAGCCTCACTGGATACATTCCAGCCCCTGATACATAATAATAAGGGCAAGTCAGGGAGACGGCTAAGAAAGTTGTTCTCTGCATTTCAAATCCAATCTCTGGCTGTTTTATTCACTTTCAGATCCTTAACCAACAGGACTGAACTGAGAAGTCTTTCACCGTTCTATAATCTGGGCAGAAGCTGGAAAACGCCGTACATAATGTCTGCTCATTTCTCAAAGATGTTTTTAAAACTCCATTGAAGCATCTATACATGAACAAGGAGGACAGGCCCAAGATGAAATTGAAAATGGCTATCATTGTTCTACCAAATACAAGGCTGTAAAGTTTGCAACTACTTTAACTGGGAAGGTTTCTACACTTACTAGTAAAGAACTAGTCATCTGACCACTCTAAGATCCCATATGTGATTTTAACCAGTCTTTTGTTTCCTGTTCATAAAACAGCTGTCACACGCTGAAGCCAAATACCTAATTTCAAATATTATTTTCTTTATAATACTTCCAAGAGAAAAGACTCATTTCTATCTCAATGCCCAAACCAGAAACTTTTGAAGTTTTAAAACAAGTTAAAGATAATGAAGCTCTTTTAACGGACAAATCACTTGTTCAAGTCAGATGGAAGGGTCCATAGATAAACATATATAACTCAGAATAAGTTCAACAAAGCCTTTGATCTGCATCATTAACAGATACTGTCACAGTGTGTCTGAGTGGTGGACTCTGGTCATTACTGAATTACAGCACTCATTCAAAATTTCTGTACCTAAGCAGACCTGCCTAAGGTTCTGGAAATGATACTGAGGTCCATGTCACCCCAGTCATCCACTGTCTTGCTGAAAAATGGATCATGAATCAAACACAAAAGCCTGTTAGTAATGCCTGCCATGATAAAATATATACAAAGAAACACAGCTTGGCAAACTTAATGAGTATCAACTGGTCATAAAATAATAAAACCAAGGGTGTGCACAGGTCAAAGTATTGCAACAGTTATTGGCTTAACATTCAAGGAATGTAAAGCAAAGGCAGATAAATATTGAGAATGAGATTGTTAACAGAAGACAATGAGGTCAGGAAACTTCATGCTTCGCATACAATTTAAGTTACATCACAATGGTCCTCTCAACTTCAGCTTTTCTGCAGAGAGCACAGATGCCATTCACATCATAAAAACAGTATCAGGCCCACCACTTCAGCCAGTCTCAAACCAAAGCTGGGCTCCCAGATGTGTCGGAGGGTGCCAGATAAGCTTGCCTTGCCATTTACTGACCAGCAAGCAATTGCTTAGTTTCTTCTCTGTGAAGAAATAAGCAGCCCTGGTATATTTCATCAGGGGTGACAAATGCCCCTAAACAATAGAGAACGTCCCATCATTGAGAAAAGGACAGGAGCTCTGAGGCAAGGGTGGATTGATGCTACTCTGGATGGCATTCTCACATACGTAATCCTTTCCCTCGAATCCTCTCATGTTTCTGCTACTGGACCTCGCTCTCTGGCCCCGTATTCACAAACACACCATCCTGTTCCTGCTCTGCTCCAGGCACAGAGGTTCACCTTCTCCAGCATTTCTAAATACATCCCTCTCCCTCTCATTCTGGCACTAAAATTCATCCCTCTGCAGCAAGTCACCACTTTGGCATCCCTGCTTTTCTACTTGGTCCCTTCAAGTAGACCTGAAACATTGCTGTGAAAATCTCCCACCTGCCTATGCACTCTGAACACGCCACTCTCAATCTCCCTCCCAGCCTTCCCTTGTGCTCTGAATCAAATTCAAGATGTTAGCCCTCATTTTCACTGCACTTTACAACTCACAGCAATTACCGTTGGCTCATAATTGCTTTAACAATCTACCTATGGCAGCTATTCATTCATATATACCTGTGAGCACACCTACACACACCCCTGTACATGAGCATGGTATGTGCTGATTAATGAAAGATAAAGGAACAATAAAAGCCAAATCAAGCATAGATTTTTGTTGAGAATGTTGGATTTTATGTTTCATGAAATTCCAGCCACACCCATGCTAATCAACCTGGGCTGTTGATTTATAGAACAATGTGTTTTATTGTAAGAAAGGAAAACAGTGAGTTTTGTATTTTAGTTCAAACGACTTTCAGTTTCTTGATAGTGCATTTCTTCTTGTTATTTCTCTACAGCACAGATATGTCCTAGATTACTTCGTAAACAAAGCGAAAATAATTTCTTTCATCCAACTGCGGCAGGAACTGAACAACTTAATCTGATCATCGTGTGCAAAGAAAATATTTCCAATGACGACATCTTCCTATGTCAATTGTTTTTTATTACAGATGTCATCTTGATGTGCCATATTAATGCAGCCCTTTCTTCCCATTTCAAGATTTTAATCTCAGTTTGTTTCTCTAATATTTTATTGGTTAAAAATACATGCTGTAAAATCCATGGCCATCAAATTTTCTTGTGAACTAAAAATAAACTGCTCTTGTCAGATACGGTTAGCTGATAAAAAGTGTCAGAGACTTTTCTGAATTACTCTGATAACTTCCTGTTTATGTGGTACTGACCCTTGTCTAATAAAGATCTTTTACACTTGGAATAAGAGAAGATACTGAAGCATACTATTCCTTAATGGACAATGCTGATTACTTTTGAAAGCCTTTAATACATTTCCCATATTAGACATGAACAGATGTCAGGGATGTTGCCAAGTGAAATTTCTTTTATGCAATCTTGGCTTGTTGTACAATAATAGCCTTTTCTCAACATGGGAAAAAATTACAGACCCAACTAATTTCCTTGACAGGGAAGAGTTACATATGTTTTCCACTTGTAGTTTTTACGACAAGTTTACAATTTTGCCAAACCTGGAACTAATTGGGACTGCTTCCAAAAATGGTCCAATAAACCCACAATGTGTACAGCTAGCCTAAAATGCATCAAATGACTGTTTGCTTTCACATTTTTTTTCTAACAGGGAAAAGTTAAGATTGCACAATTATTTCATTTAAGTTACTTAAACACTTACTGTTTCATATCCTCCCAGTTTTTGAGCAGCTTGAAACATAGTCCAAAGGTTAACTGTTAGAGGGACAATAAGTATTTAGATAAGCATTGCATTAACCAACATATTTCAAAGAAATGAAAATTAAACATTAAAAAGAAAAAAAAAAAGAAAAATAGAGAAAAAAATCTCACAGCCCTTGAAAAAGCTTCTGTGAAACATTTTCCAAAGAGGTATTTACATAATCTGAAGAGTAAATATTAGCCCATACTATATATAATTTTAATTACATATGAGAGAACACGCTTAAGATTCCTTAACAGGATTGGAAAAATACACTGAGACAAAAGTAATGGGCTCATTTGACTTTGCTGATAAGAGGCACAGTGTAATGACTGTAGCATGTTTCCATAACTTTGATAATAAAAATTACTCATTGAGTAGAATGTTGCTTTTAATTATTTGTTTAATACTGATTTCATCAGCAAGCAAGCATGAGCCACACACTGGGTAACAGAGAAAGACTATCGATTAAACAACAATATCTAGTATTTACTGGAGCTCAGATAATGGCCTCCATAATCAATAAACAATAAGCTGTGTTCTAACAGGTCCTGCATGAATGAACCCAGAGGGAGCACAAATGAAAATTACCGTAATAATTAAGGTATGAATGGTTGTGCCTTGCCCAGTGGGGTCGGAGGAGCAAAGGCAGCTCAATTCAAAAGATGTGTTAACTCTTCTTACTTCCTGGAAGAATGTCTCCCCTCCAATGTGCTTTTCATCCTAGCCCACAATTGCATGGGGCACTTGCTGCTGGTGTCTTATTTTATTTTATTTTATTTTAATTGCTAGGAGAAAAATTAGTATCTTGTGCTCTATGAAATGTGTAGGCACAACTCCATTAACAGTGATTCCCCATAGATGCACTACAAATACTTCAGGCTAGGCTCAGCAGTAATGCAGCAGACCACAGAGGACAGGATCTCTTCCTTCAGAGGGGAGTTCTCCTGTGTGTACATACTGCCTCTTCCCACTAACCTATTTATACCAGCAATGTTTGCACAAGTCTTGCTGGACAAATACAAAGCCCTGTCCTGCAAACATTTCTACTCCTCTCAGAATACTTTCTCTTGGCATTTAAGTATTTGCTGGATCAGGCCCCTAATTTATAATGAATGTCAGGCAACTTCCAGTGTTTTTCAGTGAAATATTAGCAGAGAGCCCTACCCCTGGTGGAGCATTTTAGAAATAATACTTCAGCTTGTCTTTCAAGCCTACCCTGTCCCCATTCTTAACAGAACTGCAGAATAAAATGGGGCGGAAGGGGGGAAATCCTCTCTTCAACACAAAATATTCTGAAAGCCTCACTGAACCTTGTACTGTTTCAAAGCTATCAAGAGCTTTGCTTAGGCCTTGATTTAATCTGAATCAATGCATAATGCAACGACACTGTTCATAGTAC